GAGTTATCCTTGACTATATCTTGATACCCCTTTCTCAAGTCATCAAGCTTAAAACGAACTCTTTTTTGTTCCCTTTCCAGTTTGTCTGCTCTATCTTTCTGAGAGTCGGCATCTAGCTTCCATTAATATCGTTCAACTTCAAGTTCCTTAACTTTCTACGTCAGCTCGTTATTCATAACTTCAAACTCTGCCTTAGCTATCTCAAGTTCAGAAGGGACATGCTTGATATGTTCCTCCATAGTTCAGGTGTCTTCAAAGTCTGGCACCGGAATATTGTCATTTTTTCTCAATCTTCGCCACTCCACATAATTCGTGGTAAGCATGTTCTTGGCAGCTACAACATCTGTCCGGAATATTTGCTTCCATGACTCGGCTGCTTCCTTGATCATCTTTTTATAACTGTCACCACTATACACAAACTCTGATTTAATTAGTCTGTATGTTGCAGGGACAAACTGACGTGCCCCATACTGTCTCAGTGCCAACAACGGAGCATACCCAACTGTACCCCAAAGTCCAAGTAAAGTTATAGTATCAGAATCCCCACACCGGAAAAGAACGTCGCCGAAGAACAACCAGGGGGCTCTCCAGGTAATATCCCGATCCTGAAGATGTGTAAAAACTTTCATCCACTTTTCCTTTGAAGCACCTTCATGCCATTTCATTGTGATGAACTCTCCTAAAGGTGAATATGTGGTGCTAAATCGGCGGTAGGCAACCTCGTTAGTCTTCCAGAAGTGGTTGTGAATCCAGACTTGAAGGAGCTAAACACACCCAATGAACCTTCCTCCGCCAGATCTCCGACAATGATTAAGAGACCGAAAGGTCTTGACTAAGATGGTCGGTGCTGGGTTGACTCGTCTTGGAAGTTATTCAAACAATTCTACCACGGCTGCGTCAATGCAGCCCAATGCCTTCGGAAAGATAATCAACCCGTACAGACCTAGTGCAAAAAGGTCTATAGTCTTCCACTCATCAGGGTGGTTCTTCATTAATTTCCTTATGTGGATCCATTCAAATCCTTCTCGACTGCCTCTGCGCTGAGTCCGGTCAATTACCCATTTTTTGTCTACTCCTGCAACTCTGGCCAGTGTATTCTTAAAAGGCTGACTTTTAATGTGTTTAATGTAGGCTCGCTCTAGTTTGATATTTTCACAATGCAACAGTGTAGTGTATTCTTCAATGGTGGGCACCATGTCCTCCCGGTTAAAAGTGAAGCAAATATATCCCAGGTTTCATAACTGAACCAGGGCTCTGATTAAGGGCTCATCAGTCTTAACCTGGAGTAAAAGTGCAATGTCACCGTACTGTTGGTTGAACTTCTGTTTTCGATCATTCTTCCAACTGTCCCAGATATCTCGAAGCTCTTGAACATTGTTCTGTTTTAGGCTGATCGAGGCATAATTAACCAGCTCCGACACATAGCTTTCTTGAAGGCTGTCTCCCTTTTCTTTTTGAGTCTTCTCGGACCATAGTCCTACCTCAGGATTTTTAATCTCTTGTATTACAACACCTTTATCCATTAATTCAGATTATTTTGTGTAATTTACACCTTTTTAGGGATCAATGACCTCTTGTTATGATGCAAATGCTATAAAACAAACACAAAGGCAAGAAGTTAGTAAGATAAAAATAAATAAAAATATATATAAAAAAATAAATGGTAAAGGAGAAAACATATGGACAAAAACAACATGGTTAGAAAAAAATGTCATAGGTTTTGGAATGTGGTTTCGGGGTAGGCTCAATTTCTTCATAGTCTCCCGGATTAGGTTCTAAAAAAACGGTAACCGAGTTCTCCTTGCCGGTGCCCCCTTGGGCTTGCCAGACGCTTAATCCTAAACCCATCACAGGCTTGTGTGGACTAAGTTAAACTCGAGAGGACACATTCCCTTATGCCCATACGGAGAATAAATTCACACGAAGGCATAAGGTATATGAATCCCGAAGGCTACTTGCTAGGCCCATACGGTGAATAAATTCACACGAAGGCGTCGCTTTCACCCCCACTTAAACGGGTTTGGAGCTCGGTTTAGAGCCTTAGATGAAAAAACCTTAAAGGACTGAAATCATGAGAAAACGATTAGTACAACTATTTACTCGAAAATATAATCAAAAGTAAGTAAAATAGATTGAAATATTATCTTAAAATTTAAACTTATCATTTTCGTTAAAAAGACAACTGGAAATTACCTTAGCCTGACTCACTTACCTGTCCCCAGCGGAGTCGCCAAGCTGTCGCAACCGTCTTTCGGTTGGGCCCCGGAATTGGGCTTCGACTTGAAAAATGTGGATTAGAGTCGCCACCGATCATTTATTTTATGAAAAATAGGTTGATCGGATATTTTATTCTTTACATGATCTGCGTCTTACCAAAGATGTGTCGGATTCGGGAGTCGATTACAGTCAAGGAAGGGTTAGCACCCTTGAACTGCCCTTTCGGTACTATGTAATTTCCAGTTGTCTTTAATTAAGAAAGTTGTAAATTTAAATCAAAAAGTAAAATGACGATCCAAACTACTTATCCTTGATTAATTGAAAGTTCTAAAAAATGGTCAAAAGTGTTAGATTGTAAAAATGAAAATAAACCTGAGAAAAAAAATATAATAGTATTAATAAAATAAAAGAATAAAAATAGTTAGGTAAAAATAATAATAAAATAATAATACTTATAATAGTAATAATAATAAAATAATAGTAATCATTCAAATTACTGGAGACTTTAGTAAGGAAAAACAACTGGTGGGCCTTAACTAATAATGAGTGTTAGGTTAGATATATATATATATATATATATATGTACATAGGAAGAAATATAAGTAAACATAAATGAATAAAAAATATATATAATCATATGTGTATAACGGGAATATATATAATAATAATATGCTGGTAAATAAGCTATTGAAAAAATGTGGACGCATATAAGATGATAAGTATAGTATTTAAAAGGGGGAAAAATCCAATAAAAATAAGAATATATATACATATATTAATTACAAAAAAAGTATGTACATAGAAAAACGAAATAAATAAGATAAAATAAAAACACAGGAATTAATATGAAATGGAAGTCATTTTGGTGGTTAAATTAAAATAAAAAAAAATTGAAGGTCAAATTAGGATGAATTTTGGGTTCAAAAATCTGACTTAGGGGTCAGAACAAGGCTTTAAAAAGAAAGGGAACTAAAAGGGTAGTTTACCCCAATTTATTAAAAACACGCGGACTCATGAACTAGGTCGGGTCGAGACGCGGGTTGAGTATTTAATTCAAATTTTTTTTTAAAAATTTCATTCTCTTGACTTCACAGTCGAGACCCCCCTTGCGTTCTTCATTCTCTCTCGCGTGTTCTTCAACATGAAGAACACGCCGCCGTGATTCTTCAGCATGAAGAACACGCCGCCGTGGTTCTTCAACATGAAGAAAACACCGCCTCGCCGTCGTCGTTGGTCGACGACGGCCGCCTGTCATCGGCGGTAAAATAAAAAAAGTTTTCATTTTTTTTAAAGCTCTCGGTGTCTTCGTTTTGAAAATCTAGATAATTTTCTGAAAAACAAAGGTAAGAACTTTGCCTATTGTTCTTTCGAAAATTTGCAAAAGAAAAGCTCCGTTTTCGCTCAAAATTGCTAGTAATCTTCTGCTTGTATTTCATATTTTCCGAATGTGTTCAAGTGGATGATTACATGTTTATTTATAGCCTAATATTTGTTAAACATTTGAGTCCTATTCTAACTTAGTTGCTTGGTGTTGATTGGAGTCCCATGCGCTCAAGAAAACGGTGGTTGTGTGAGACTTGAAGACCCGTGAGGCATGGGTAGTCTTCGAACGGCGTTGGATGAGGGATTGAGGTCATGCGGCGTTTAGGGTTTCTGGCAATCCTAAGTTCACGTGAGATGCAAACTTGGGCCACTGTCTCCACTTGTAAACATACTGGGCTTGGGCCTGCAAAATAGAATATAAATAACAAATACATATGAATATATAATGTAATATGATTTAAAATATAAATATATTATATAATATAATAACGTGGAAGGAAGAAATTAAGTGTCTTCAATTATAAATATTTACAATTAAATTTAAAGAGAAACTCAAAGAACTCGACTCGATTTAAATTTTATAAATTTGACACGAAAAATTTCAAATGAAGTTTGAGTTATAAAATAAGATTCATCAACCCGAATAACTCAATTTTTTTTGCTTGACTCAATTAAACATTCACAGCAATTATGTGTCATATTTAAATTTTAAGATTGTACGATTTATTTTATTTATTTATTTAGGGTGATTATAAGTGATAATATTTGTTCTAAATATTCTCAATAATTTGACAATGAACACTCAAATACCCTAATATTCATTGATACAAAACTTCTTAAAATAACAATTATTTATTTAACCATTGAGATTAATTAATTCATGTCTTGTGTTTTAGATTTTAATATCTAAATTTATAATTTAAATTATAGAATGAATTATAATTTTAGATTTAAAAAAAATAGAATTTCATATTTTTAAATTCAAATAACAGTAATATATAAATTTTAATTTTCATAAAATGTGTCTAACAAAATTATCCTTACAAAAATCACTAACTTAAGTAACAGCGATTGGATGTTAGGAGTAAAAAACATTATTATTATTTGCTGAAGTTTTAAATTTTAAATTAAAATATCAAATAATTAAAAATTATATTCAAATAAATATTATCTCTTATTTATCTCAAATTAATAAAAATTCATAATCGATTGTTCCAACTGCGATCTAAATTTTAAAGCGTGACCCCAACCTGTGGCATGAAAATTGAAATCCTCACGCCTTGTTGTCGGCAAAGATATTTTAATAATAATAATAATTAAATATAGAAAAATCCAATAAAATTCTGTTTCCAGCGAAACGCTGCCGTTTTCTTCGTTTCCTATATCCAGGCCATGGACGTCGGGGCCTATCCCTAAATTCAAGATCTAATTTTAATTTAATTATAAAAAGCTTACTCCTCGCATCGCATCGCATCAGAGCGCTCACATTTCCCCCATTTTCAGCAGAAACTTAGCTCCTTTCGACAATCAAGCCAAAGATGCCGTACTACTCAAGGGGCGGTGATGATGACGTCGACGAGTTCGACGAGTTCGATCCGACGCCTTACGATGGCGGATACAAGATCGAATTGACCTACGGTCGCCCCTTGGAACCATCCGATGAGACTTGCTACACTTCAGCCACACCATCCGATGGCGACTTTGATTACCGCCGTCCCGATTTCTCTTCCGGTGCCGAGCACCTTGCTTATGCCGACGAAGCTCTCCAAACTGAATACAGTAGCTATGCCAGACCCAAGCCCCGACCTGGCCGTTTCGAACCTGCTCCTGCTTATGGTTCTGGATCTGATCAGTATGGAGCCCAGCATGAATCTGGTTATGGAAGAAAGCCTGAATATGAGCAATCCGAATCTGGTTATGTACGAAAGCCGGAGTACGAACGACCCGGATCTGGATTCGAATCTGGTTATGGTCGAAAACCTGAACTCGAGCAGCCTACTTCTGAGTATGGTTCTGGGTATGGCCGGAAGCCTGCATATGAGCATTCACATCAATCGGATTATGGATCCGGTTATGGACGGAGACCCGAATTCGAGCAGCCTCCACCTCCTGAATTTGGATCTGGGTATGGTGGAAGACTTGAGTATGGGGAACAAGGATCTGAATACGGATCCGGATATGAAAGGAAAACCGACTCTGGGGAGCAAGGATCCGAATACGAATCCGGATATGACAGGAAACCCAAGTATGGGGAACAAGGATCCGACTACGGATCCGGATATGGCAGGAAACCCGAGTATGGGGAATCCGAATCTGGATACGGATCTGGGTATGGCCGAAAGGCTGAGTTCGAAGGTGGTGGATCTGAATATGGGTCCGGATATGGACGGGGGAGCGAAACTGAGGCCGAGTATGGATCTGGTTATGGAGGTAGGGCAGAGACCGAATACGGGTCAGGATATGAGAGGAAACCGAGTTATGGGAGATCAGAGGAAGAGGGGGAAGGGTATAGGAAACCGAGTTATGCGAGGAAACATGCTGATGACTCGGACGATGAAAAGAAGAAGGGGTATGGTTATGGCGATGAAGAAGGCTATGGCCGCAAGAAATATGTGAGTACCCTTAATTTGATTTAAATACGAGATGAAAGTTGATAGCTTTAAACTGATTTGTAATTTTAATTTTGTGTTTGATTTAAGTATCGTTTGTCTTTTGATTGAATGTTTCTTGGATGGCTTTTACTAATTGTCAGATGTTAAATTTCCTTCTTCTAACTATTTTTTCACTCCTGGCTTTTCTTTGTTGAGATTTATGCCGTTTAACCGTACACTTGTATGATACTTACTCTTATCTGAGTATTATAGTTAAAATTATAGCCATTTGATTAGAGTTGAAAACATGTTAGGAGCAGATAAGCTGCTATGAGAACATTGTCCCTTTCATTTGCAATAGATATCCAGTGGTTTACAACTGAATTGAACTTTGAACTGGCTAATTGAAGATAGAACCCTTTGGACACCATGCATTATATAGACTAGTATTAACAGAACCAGATTTTATGTTCAATCATTCCTGTTATTTTCAATCTCAATGTATCTGTGATGCAATGTTGCACATCCATTCTGTCGGATTTATGAATCCATCCTGGCCAACTGTCTCCTGCTTATTTGTTAGTTCGTTGCGTACTTAGGCAATTGCGAATCTTTTGCCTTTAGCTTTCTCCAAGTGCAAGTACTTTATATTCTTCTCATGTGTTGTTAACTTTGATTCTTTTCTAGCATCTTCATCATGTTGATTTTCAAGTAATTTGAGTTCCAGAAGAAGCATCATATATTGGAAAAAATGGAATGCTGTGGTTTACTCTGTTGTTATATGCATACTTGTTTATGTTCGATTATTTTTTTCACAAAACTCATTTATTTAATGTTACAGGGTGGCGAAAACAGTGATGATGATGAAGAGAAGCATCATCACCGCTATCAGCACCATCACCATAAGCGCCAGGACGATTATGACAAGTAATCGTACTGGTGGTTCCCTCTACAAATGGAGTTCATGCCATAGTAGCTACCTCCTTATCGGTGTCTAGTTGTTTGTGTGCTTTGTGTCTGTTCGATTGTCAATCAATAAAATGCCAAACATTGGGCCACTGCCGTTATGCTTGATGGTTATGAATTTGGTGATGGTAATATAATATCATGTTGTACTTTGCATATTAACAAAACTTAATGATTATGATAGACAATATAATGCATATGTTTGTGATGTGCTTGTGAAATAAAGTTATGTATGATATATGATATAATATGTTTATACTTTGTCTTTGATGCCTAGATTGCTATTTAATTATTAGGGGACGTTTGGTTCAGGGTATCTCACATTACCGTGGGAATAGAATGTCATTCTCCCGTTTGGTTGGCAAACATTCTCAACATCCGGCAATAAATTATTTTCAACAGTATTATTTTGGGGTATATTACCGTGAATGTGATTACTCACCTTCTCTTAGGTATTGTTATAATCTCAGCGTTTTGGTCTAAAATGTTCTTAAATTTTTTTCTTTTAAAAACATCATTCTTCTGTCGTTGAATAAAAAAAATTCTACGAAGGTTAAATTATAAATTTATCCTTAAATTATTTTAGATTTACAAAAGAAGTCCATAATTAGAATTTTATATGAAGTTTATGGGTTAAAATAAAAATTTACCATTTTATTAAATTTATTTATCTTTTTAATTTTGTAAAAAAATTATATAAACTTTATGAATTTAAATTTTTTAAAGAAAATATATAAATTAATTATAGTAAAATTTAATTTGTTAAAAAATAAATATATAATAAGGACAATTTGGTAAATTATATATTCCAATAATTTTTTATTTATTTAACCAAACATTATAATTTTGAATTTTGCTAAACGAACCAAACACAAAATACATTTCCAATAATCTTACTCTCGCTGGTAATCTTACATTCCCGCTAGTAATCTTACATTACGTAAACTAAACACACTTTTAGGGTAAATTATATTCATGGTCACCCAAGTCTACAGTTGATATTCGTTATCATTGACTAAGCAAATTATTCACTTTCTTTTTAATAAACTAATATTTTAAATAAAATGACAAAACGAATGTATACGAGTAATAGATCTATTGGGAAAAAGAGTCCAACAGTTTACATCTGTTTTTAATATCAAATTGAAATTTTTGGTATGCATATACCAAATTCTTTAAATTGATATTTGGATATATATTTTGTTCAAAGTTAGAAATTATGATGTAAAGATACAAATTTTATTAGGGTAAAATACGCCAAATGGTCACTAAAGTATGAGTTAGTAATTGTTTTCACCACTGATATTTTTAAAGTTACAAATAGATCGTTAACGTTATCATTCGTTACAAATTGGTCACTTCCCGTTAATAGACGTTAGTGGGCGTAATGAAAATCAAACTGGATCGTTATATTCCTGACTTGGACTGTCATGTTGGACAGTGAAATGGGTCCAACGGTAAGCTCTTCCCCTTTTTTAAATATCCAATCTCTAACCTTAATTTTACACATTTGCATTCATTCTTCCTTTGTTTTAAATTTCTCACAAAAATTCAAATAGAAAACCTAGCTAAGTTGAAGATGGAAGACTCCATTGATGTTCCGCTTTGCAATTGTGGAGAACTAGCTAAGGTGGTGACGGCTTGGACGAACGAAAATTGTGGGAGGAGGTTTTATGGGTGACCAAATTATGAGAAAAAAATGAGTAAAAAAGTTTTTTTTTTTGGATAGATCCTCTCATGACGCCTCGGACAAAAAATATGTGCTCAAGACTACTGAAGAAATTGAAAAAAGTAGAAAGGGAAAGGGAAAATGACAGAATTTTTTATTTTTTTCTCTTGATTTTATGTCTCTATAAACTTTGGGTCGGTAATTAAATAATAGGTGGATGAAAGCTTATTGTGATTTCTAGATGTAAGCTTGTAATGGTGGATGTAAGCTTTTTGTGATTTATGGATGTAAGCTTCTTAGGGTGTTATGTTGTAATGGTTGTTTGTCTTAAATGATAATTTGTAATGTTGTAATGGTGGATGAATTCTTAGCAAATGAAAAATGAGTTGTTATGGCAGTTTGTAATGGTTTGTGTAAGTTCTGATTTTCTTTTACATTAAAAAATTATCAAAATAGCTTGTTAGGGTGTTATGTTGTAATGGTTGTTTATCTTAAATGACAGTTTGTAATGTTGTAAAGCAAATGATAAATAAGTTAAAAAACAGTTTGTAATGGTTGACGAATTCTCATTTTCTATTGAACTACAAGAATAATCAAAATAACTTCTCATTAACTTCAAACCAATTGTCAAACTGATACAATTTTTCTAACCTATTGTAATTCAATATCCCATTAAGCCAAATCTTAATCCTAGTTAAAATATGGACAAAAGAATGGCTATACATCAAAGCCATGATAATCAAAATAATAGTTATGCTAATGACTATACAACAAAGCCATGATAATCAAAATAATAGTTATCCAAGTAGCATGTATATGACAAAATAACTCAAGTTTCCAAGTATGGCTATACTTCAAGATTCTTGAGTTGGAAGATTAGAAACACATGATTCTTGACTGGAAGGCATCACATGGACTGCTATAGGTGGTTGCATCATCCAACGAACTGTTGTTGGTGGATTAAGTGACCTCCTCTTAGGTAATTTGTGCCTTGTTGCTGCTTTGGAGTAGGGTGCTGGAATGGCTGGTTGGGTATACGTTGAGGTTGTTTCTGCCTTGGAGTTGGTTGATGGAATTGTTGGTTAGGTGTACGTCGAGCTTCATGTTGATTTAGTCTCTTGTTACCACCAACTTCTCCTCTACAGGTCTTCATATTGTGGCTAGGTTTACTACACTTGAAGCAGTTTTCGAGTGAATCTTTCTTGGTTAGTTTAGGTCCATTGCTTCCTTCATCAACTTCCTTCCTCGTTTGTTTAGTTGGACATATAACAACATGAAAAGAATTATATATTCAGCAATTATATTCGTATACCAACTGCAAACATTTCCTTTTCCCATCTTTAATTAATTTAATAATTAAATAATTACTAAAAGAAATTTAATTATATTATTAGATAAAGTGTCGGTCAAATGTATTTTAATGGTCGCCCATCGTGCTAGTCAACCATCAAAGTCAGGAATATAACGGTCTAGCTGGGATTTCCGTTACGCCCACTAACAACTGTTACGAAGAGTGACAGATTTGTAACAAATAATAACATTAATGACCATTGACGTAGTTTATCCATTTTACTATTTAGGTAAACTTATGAAATATGGGATTTGATTGACGCCATGGCAGAGGCGCTGGTAGCACCACGTGTAAAGAAAGTGGTGAGAGTTTGTAAGATAGGTTTTTATTGGACCACCCTTTCAACCTCTCCTTTTCGGTTTTCATTTCCAAAATAATGCAATCTGCAGTCGCCTCTTATTTTTTAATAACATTCCTTAAATTATTTGAAGAATTCACATCTCTATTACGAAAATAATCTTATGTGCTTTTATTCAGATGACACATACAACAACGAATAAAAATATTATATTTGGAGAAATGAAATATGTTCTCCATCCCAAATATTATGTGTTCTTTTTCCTTAAAAAATACTCACGGCTTCATTCATTCCAAGTCGAGTTAAAGACCCAGTTGGAATAATCTTTATTCTTTTACTTGAAATTTTAGAGAGAAATATAAATTTAAATATTATTTTCAATTATATCAAGAATTTTATTAAATATTAAATTAGATTATATAAAATGTTTTGAACTTCGCAGTTGGGTTTGAAATTTATCTCACGATATACTTAACTTATAAAATTAATTATTCTTAATGAGAAAATAAGTATATAAATTATACCACTTTTTTCATATAAATGTCCAATTTTTTTTTATTCATTCAGGTGTTTAATATTACAAATGTTACTACTTTAAGTGCACATGCAGTAACTGCCATTGAATTCTGTCGTTACAGGACACGTGATGATGTCTTTATAAAATTTTAAAAAATTATTTAAATTAAAATAAAAATACTATTATATTTATTAAAAAAACCCTAATTTTATAAAATTACAAAAAAACTCAAAATCTCTAAAAATTTCTAAAATCAACCATGATCGAAGTTGTCGACACTATCGATGCCACCAACGCTGCCTCCCTTTCTGGCCGACATCATCCTTGTCATCGGATCGTGTCGTCGGGTCGCGTAAATGTCGCGATTATTTCCTCAAATGACATGTCTGGTCCCCGTAAATGTCACGATTATTTCCTCAAATGGTGAGTCGTATATCGATTTTAATCGTGCATTGGTGGTTGTTCGTCGTGTGAGTGGTCGTCAAGTGGAGGTGCGGTTAGGGTAGGTTCAATTGATAGCAACAACGACGAGAAGGCGACGATGTGAGTATAGAGATTAGATTTAGAATTTTCAAAGTTTGGGGGATTTTTAAGATATTTGAAAATTTTGAGGGGGGTTAATATAATTTGAATTTCTTTTGTTATAAATAAATTTTTTCAAAAGTTAATTGAATAATACACGTGCTCTTTTAACAGTGGAATTAAACGTGTAACACCCCAACCCATATCTGACCCATATCCGATCCGGATACGAATTCGAGATGTCACATTAACTTTTTAAAACATTTGATTGTACAATATAGACTTAAAATTTCAAACTTTCATTATAATAAAAGTAAATAATTTACATAAGTATAATAAAAAAGGATTATAAAATCGATGAGAACATGTTTGATTTAAGCATTCCTTATATGTCAACAAAATAACATATAACAAAATACATACGATTTAAATCAATTCTGATATGATCTTCAACTAATCGATGATGTCTTGCCCGTTTGCCCTAACTTGGATCTCCTTGTTTCTTTTGAACCTATTTGTGGAACGCTCACATGCTAAGTCATAGACTTAGTGAGGCATAATATCCAATATTGCAATAATGAAATTATGTAACATGCAATCATATAATATCATAATGTAATAATAATCATCATATATCTATTCAACAAAACATACATAGACATGCATTTACAAATAATAACCTATCACATTGTTCAATGTTATTTCATGTTATATCTTTTATTCGCCCATGTCACACCCCCAAACCCGTACCTGACCCGAAT